TCTGAAAGAAAATCTCAGGCCTCAGAACTCCAGTGAAAAAAACACGCTTTCACGCAAAAACCCCGAAACCCGCACGTAGCTACGACAAAGTATCTCGGATGCGGTTTCTATGCTGGTAAATTCTGAATATAACCACTGCACGGTCGACTCGAAACACGAGGATGCCGGAAAGAAAAACGGCAGCGAGCCCTGGTGCTGTCATTACACCTATATATTGCTAAATACATTAAAAATAAAAGACGACATGCATGAGGGAAACGAATTACAGTTGTAAAAGGTGCCGCCATGAAATCAACATGTGACTACGTAGTGGCACCGGATTTTGATTTCTTTGCTGTGAAAAATACTACACACAAAGAGGAAAACGACACAAGGGTAAAAAAGACAAGGAAAACTTATCCTACCAGCTACCATGTCGGATGCCGAGCAGCGGCAACAACCCAAGCTATAAATCCGGACAGGAAAAAAAAACCAGGCGATCCAGCAGAGCTCGCTAAATTTCATCTCCACTCGAGGCGGAGAGAAATTAAGAGTGATGGACGGCTACCTGTGGCATTGCCAGGTGGCCTCGGTCACGTGGGTTCGTGACGTAAGGGGTAAAAGAATCTTGAGGTCATGGGGCTTCCCCTGACCTGGATTTTATCTCTCCGTCACCGGCAGAATCGCTGATTAATGCCTACAGTTCAAAATAGTCATTTTGACTGACTGGAGTCTATGGTGGGTAATTGAACGTAGTGAATATGGCTCTGAAACAATATTTGTTTCAAAAAATGACTGCCAGTTGGCCATATAGATCCGATCTGAACACGAAAAAATCTCATTTGTTTGATCATGCTCTCCAAATGTTTTTGTGTTAGCTGTTGGTATATTCAACTAGCAGCCTGTCAGCTGAGATAGTTCCGCTGTTATCAATGCACATTTCAATTAAAGAACTGAAGATATCATCAGAAAATGAACAATATGTATAGTATTAAAGCAATCAGACTTGCTGTTTTCAACAAAAATTTGAAATGTAACTTTTTATCTTAAATATTCATTAAAATTAGATAATTGAAGAACAAAATCATCACGAAATGAACAAATCTGAGAGAGGTCTACCTGTAGTACCTATGTAGTATATATAATATCGAAGCAATTAGACTTGTGGTTTTTAACAAGAAGTCGAAAATATCACTTTTTACTAAAAATGACAAAATATTCATGAAAATTAGAGAATTTAAGATATCATCACGAAATGAACAAATCTGAGAGAGGTCTACTAATAGTATCTAGATAAGTAATATCAAAGCAATTGGACTTGCAGTTTTCAACAAGAAGTAGAAAATATCGTTTTTGACCAAAAATTACAAAAATATTCGCTATAAATAAGACAATTGAACATATCCACACGAATAGAATATCAGTGATGTGATCAAACTTTCTAGTTATGGTAATTAAACAAGCTTCTGTGTTCTGGATTTGTTGAAGTTTGAAGAAACTTGTGTGATACTGTAGAGAAGACAGTTTGCATGGACAAAGTGTTCAGTTTAATTCATTCAGTTACTAAAATTTCTAACAGTTTTTTTTTCTGGTAGTTACTCTTTCTATAAAGTGACTAGTTGAACCTGTTTGTGTTCTAACAGAACTAATGACGTTTTCCAGGTGACGTCATTAAAAGCCAATTAGTGAAGTTAGTTAGCTTTTCAAAGCTCCCTGGAGTTACCAGGCCTGAAATCACTGGTTTTATTTTGATCACCTCTCTTATATCATTGAATAATGTTTCCAATGAACAAAGTATGGATCCCAGAAAGACTGCTTGCAACCAAAAACTAACAAGAATTGTAGATTATAGATAGAATTTTTGTTCAAGATGTAATTGTAAAAAAAATGTTGTGAAAATTGAATGTTTCTTTAAATTACATTTATTTAGTCATACAATGTTTTGATGAAATACAAAATGTGTACATAGTTTAATAATAGCACAATTATTTCAAACCAATATATTCAGATATTAAAGACTGGAAACAAGTTAGCAACAACTTTGATACACCATCACGATACATTCAAAGCTGATCATTGGCAAAGTAGAGGTTGTTGCCATTTGATAAAGAGATGGTCACATAGCTTATAACCCCAAACAGTTAGCACATACACTTTGTCATGTCTAGCAAAAAAACTTACCTATTCCATGTGATCTGAACAACTTCATTCTCAATATCCTCAGCTAACCCTTTCTCAAGTGGCTCAGCAATCATTGTTAATTTATTTCTGTTGAAAACAAATCAGATTTATGAGTTTAGGAAAACATAAAAGTTTTAACACAATTTAAAATTCCACAATTGTTGATCAGCATCATGTTTGACAAGAGTCCCATGCAACGTATTCATCAGTTTTTTTACTATAACTGTAGCACTTGAAGTAATTAAATATAGTCATTGATGATAACAGAACGATAAACATCATTAGATTGACGAATGACTCAACAACCCCAGTTTTGTTGGATGATGGAATAGTGTGAACCTACTTTTTGTTTGGCGTTTCAGCAAAACATTTGAGTGATGATGTCTCCACAACAGTTTCACAGAATGACACAACTGGATCAGCAACCTTGATATCTAGTTAGAAGAACAAAACGTGCCAAAAATCAATAATGTTGACAAATTTTTTATTTTTTTTTGTGGCAATAATAATTCTGTTTTTGGCATCATATAGTAAAGTCAACAATTGCATCCACAAAAAAATAAACCTGGTACAAAAGTCAAATTTAATCAAAGAAAACTTAGAAAAGAACTCCCTTGTGATGAGAGACATAGAATTAGAGACATATTAAAAATTAATTAGCCCTCGTATTACATATTTGAACAGTGTTATTTCTAATGTTACTACCCTATATACATTGTATTATACATTTTTGTATCACATTGCAAATCTAAACACAGTGAAGTAAAAGTTTGGTAGATGATGCTGGGTTTCATTAGTCATCAGAATATGGATTCTAAGAACAGCTTAACAATTTTTCTTACCAATTTCAGAATACATTTTTCTTAAATCGTGCATGACACAGTCTAGGTAAAGTTCACCAGTTCCCAGGACAACATGTTCACCAGACTCTTCTACCTAAAGTACAATTAGCCAAACAAATATATTATGAACATGACAAATTTTAAAGGGCAGTGGCTCAAGCAGACTTTTTGGATTTTAATCCAACAATCAAAATGTTTGATTATTGTAAATACTGTAGAACATGTCTTTTTCGCGAATTCAGCGAGATAACTGATTCGCTAATTCAAGACGCCGCTAATGACTATTATAAATTCAAAATGGCCAAGGCTTGGGGATTTGTATACAATAATCCGGAACATAAAAATCTGGGGGGGCTTCCTAATTACACTAATTACAGTTTTTCTTTGTTTTTATGTCTGATGTCCTCTCATCTGATGTTAGCAGTGTGGGATGTCAGAGGTCCTCTCATCTGATGTTAGCAGTGAGTCTGGTGTTAGCAGTGTGGGATGTCAGAGGTCCTCTCTTGTCTGATGTTAGCAGTGTGGGATGTCAGAGGTCCTCTCTTGTCAGATGTTAGCAGTGTGGGATGTCAGAGGTCCTCTCATCTGATGTTAGCAGTGAGTCTGATGTTAGCAGTGTGTGATGTCAGAGGTCCTCTCTTGTCTGATGTTAGCAGTGTGGGATGTCAGAGGTCCTCTCATCTGATGTTAGCAGTGAGTCTGATGTTAGCAGTGTGTGATGTCAGAAGTCTTTTCATCTGATGTTAGCAGTGAGTCTGATGTTAGCAGTGTGTAATGTCAGAGGTCCTCACTTGTCTGATGTTAGCAGTGTGGGATGTCAGAGGTCTTCTCATCTGATGTTAGCAGTGAGTCTGATGTTAGCAGTGTGTAATGTCTGTGATCTTCTCATCTGATATTAGCAGTTTGTAAACTTACCTTAGTAGTTAATAAAGGATAACTTTTATTGACTTTTCTTAATCCATCTAACATTTTGGGTAACTCTGATGGATTGACAGGTTCCACAGCTATCTTGATAACAGAACTTGTATTGAACTTTAATGGTTTGAAAATGTATGCCTAGAGAGTGGATAAATGATGAAAAATAAGTAACCATATTTGCTCTATTAAAAGTACATCTTTAAGACAAGTGCATATAAACCAAAAAGCTTATTTGCATATTGTATAATATTACTTATTTTTACAATAGAAACACCTTATTACCATAGAAATAATGTTATAGCTACTAATAGAGTAAATATGGTACTGGACCTGGATTCTACTCTACTTGTTCTTTTTGAAGTGCAGGGATTTGTCTATGGTCAAACTAAGTAATATTTTAACAATTATCTGTCAATGTAAAAGTACATGGGACTGGCAGAATAATGGTTAATCATCCAACAATAGATGCAATTTTTGGTTCATGTGCATAACCCCTATCCCTCCCAAGCCTGATGATAGAAAGACACAGAAACTGACATTAGGTGAAGGTAAAAATTAAATAGTACTGCTTTGAAATATAATTTTATTTCAAACAGCTACTTTGCTGAGCAGTGATCCTTCTTTAATGGAATGGTAAAAAACGCCAGTATTTCTGAGGTTATGAACGCAAGTGTAAATAACTGTAGCAGTGTTTTTTTCTGCTTTCACTGACAGTCTTGAGAAGCAGTATTGCAATAATTGATATTGAAATAGTGTTGTATATTGCAATTTGGTCATTTTGTTTGCGATGGGAGCAAGTCGCCATCTACTATTAAAACAATAATGAATCCTCCAAATCTCATAATGGACGAGTAGAAGGATCTATAGCAAGATGACGTGCGAGACAAACATATTGCATCTAGACCCTTCATTGAATAGTGGGAGAGGCACTATTGTTGTTATAAATAATCACCATCAGAATTTTGATGGCTTTTTGTTAATATGAATTTACTTGCAAATAGAGGTTTTTATTATCCTGTGATGACATAATAAAAACCATTGATAATGGTGATTTATAATGAATGTCAATGCGAATAACATTGAAAGCAAACAAGTGTAATGTCCATTGTTAGATACAGAATATTTATAGTTGAGTAGTACACACCTCTTCATTTCCCCTGGCTTCAGTAATAGTAGCAGTCTTAACTATAGGTTGATCTATTCCCTCTATGAGAACCCAGTTACCAGCAGGCACTCTATTTACTTCAATTTTATATCTATTACAAAAAGCAGATAAAATAAAGTTACATATTATAGGTGTTCCACGGTCTAATCAGGGATTGCCTTAACCCCATATTTTGTTTCCCGGACTCCAATTATTGATGATGGACCTAGTTGTTCCGGCAAGCTGGAGTCCAATCTCCAATTAAGTTATCCAGAGTCAAATTTCTATTTCTTAAAATTTTGTAAGTGGGACTCGTCTTGCTGAGGCACTAGCGCAAAGTTAGAGTGTTAACATGTACGAGGCCACACAAAATGTTACTCCATAAGTTATGAGCAGCATACAGTACTATAGCATTTGGATGAAAATTGGCTGAATAAGTTTTTGGTTATAGTGCCCTCTAGCAGATTTAAATGTAAAAACTATCAGGATGTGTAGATCACAAATGAAGTTGATGGCAAAACACATGTACAAATACTACTTGGTAGTACTACCATTTAGCAGGATCATCTGAAATAGCAAAACAACATACCTTGCTTCAGATATCCATAGTCTACCAATCTGACATATTCGTGAGTCTTCTTCATCTTCTAGTGTATAGTTTTCACCGAGGACACGTACATCTGAATTAGCATGCAACGTGCCACTCATAATACGTCCAAATGCATGGAAACTTACACCATCTTCTGTACTGTACATTTTTGTTATATGCACCATTAATGGTCCCTAGAGAAATAATAATAATACATGCTGAACAACTTCATTCATTATTCAGATCAAGAAACAAAAAAATACAATGACAGATTTGTAGGTTCCAGCATGAATGAGAGAATGGAACCAAACAGCTTGTGCTACTTTGCTACTTTCAATAAGTATGTCTGCATATATCACTCTCTGTTGAAATACTAACCTCTTGATCACAATCTATCATGGAATCTGCCAGATCAGTATCTAATGGTCCCGTGTAGATTTGGTCTATTTTATTTTTAGCATAACCAACAGGAGATTTGACATGATGAACACACATATCAACAAAGCCTGGAAAAGATTAAGATAAAAGTTATGGAAATTGCAAAATGATCACAAAATCACAAGACAAATGTAAAAGAACTGCTTAGAAATGTTTTACTTGTATTCTTAGAATGTTAATTATGGCAGACAACCTTTTTTATCTTGCTATAATCAAACTATTCTAAGTACCCTTGGCATTCTGTAATAGTCAGTAATACCTTTGATTGACACACATAAAAATTACGCAAAGTAACCTTGGAAACATCATCGATAAATTTATATTCTAGTAATGAGGGGAATTCGTCATCATTTTCTCACCTGTAAAGTCACCAAAGAATTTCTTACAGACTAGTCTCATTAATGGTCGGATATTCATCTTAAGTTCTTCCTTGGTAAGTTTAATACCAAGTTCATCCAGTACACCCGGCAGTGTAGAATCTACATCACCTACAACCTGTAAGTGACATTGACATTTTCAGTACCTTGCACATAATTTGCATGAATGGCAAAATGTCTCATTGTCACCAATGTTGTCATTCCCATAAACTTATTTTGTTGTAGTTACAATAATAATAATATTGGTGTGTTTTCACCTGTATATTATTCATAATATTGGTGTGTTTTCACCTGTATATTATTCATAATATTGGTGTGTTTTCACCTGTATATTATTCATAATATTGGTGAAATTTGATTCTGATTGTTTGTGAACTTTATATGTTGCTCATCATTATGATATCCAAATAAAATTTAGAATGACTCTCAAGATACAGCAAAAAAATTGTTTAAAAAAATTAATTTATCAGTGACTTGATGGCCGAATTCGCTCCGCTGTTTCAGCTGAGCACAGTCCAGCAATAATTGCATGGATATTGTCACATAAACATCAAAAACTTAGATCTTATCACTGATACCCAGTCATCCAGTATAAAATCAAAATATTCATTAAAATTACAAAATGAATTTGAACATATTCAGTCAAAGCATGTTTGAGATATGGCACAAGAACCAGTCGGCCATTTTAAATCTGATCTGAAAGATAAAATATTGTGCATTCGAACCACGACTAATAAGTCTCCCAAACTCTTTGAAATCAATCTGGGGTAGTCTAATTCAACATAAATTATAGGCATTTCAATTGTACGTAAACCATACAACAATTGTATGAGAATCGATCGATGTCTTTTAATGAGAACAGACAATTTCTGTAAAAGATACGACTTCAAAGAAACAGACTAACGGATGGACACCAAATTAATAGTCCCCATTTTTGGACAGTGTCTGAACAGGGACTAAAAACGAATTATTCTGTGTCAATTTAAATGATACATACTGCAGAATTTGCAATGGAGTGAACTCAAACAATAGTTTGTGTTCAGACAGAACAATGGGAGATATAAATACATATCAGATTCTACTTACTTGTGCAAATAGTTTGTATAATGGTTCCAAGATAAATTCTACAAAACTTCTCTGTGCTGAACTGTGAGGTGGTTTCTTGGTAAACTTGCGCCTGAAACCAAGTAACATCTTGTATATAATACAATATAATAAAGACTATTTCTAGGACTGCCACCAATATATAATGTAGATACATCAGTTACTATGGAAACTGCCCAGAATTATTTTAACACTTCCAAATTTTTGATAAAAATTAAACAATAAAATAAAATAATTCTTTTTTATACCATACAAGAGAGGGATATGAAACTGCTGGCAAACAATAAATGTAAGTCATGAATGTATGAGCCATCTTTGCATAAATTATATATGTATATACATGGTACATGTCCTATGCAAACATAAATAAATACAGTTTTTGTCTACATGTTGTTTTTATTGTTCCGTCTTGCAAAGTTTGTGTCCAGTTGTAACAAGTTTATTAACAACTACGGTACCTGTAATCCAATTTTCACCACATTTTTTCACATGTCTGTTTATTATGTGGTCTGATTTTATTCCCTTTCCAATGTAAACTATTGCCAATGTTAATTGAATTGCAAATTTGTTTCCAGTTTTACAGTGCTTATCCCATTTTTACTGATTTTACAAGTTTGCACAATATACATATACTTTGCCTAATAACAAAGATAACAAGTCATTGTCAATGACACGTCCCCGTTCCGTTCATATTTGAGTGACATATACATTCAAAGCAGATCATGACTGAAATGCACCTGCATATGTACAACACATTGTACTAAATCTGAACAAAATCCATCCATGCATGACTGAGATCTGGTTCCGGAATTGTGAAAATACGTGATTTTAATGCATTTTCGGTCTTAAAATGGCCATCATTCAGCTATTGTTAAGCGGATCATGAAACAAATGCACATATCTATTTGTGACATGATGCACCATGTGTGTGTGAAGTTTGAACTTGATCAATCCAGACATGTCTCGGATACGGATCCAGAACTGAATTCTTTAAAACAAAATGGCCGCCAGTCGGCCATTTCGAACTTGATCTGAAAAAAAAAATGACGTGCATCAAGGTCCTATTATGTTTAATGTATGTACCAAATTTGAATGAAATCCGTCCATGCATAACTGAGATCTGGGTCCGGAATGGTGAAAATGTGCGATTTCAATGCATTTTCGGCCTTAAAGCGGCCGCCATTTGGCTATCGTTAATGGGATCATGAAACAAATGCACATACA